CCAGATTATTACTGATATAAATAGATTAGTGTCATCCGCGAACAGTCTTGTAAGAAAGTTAGATGCAGATGGGAGATCATTTATGTAGATTAATAACAAAAGTGGGCCTAGCGTTGATCCGTGTGGAACACCGCATGTCTCTTCAAAAATAAATGAGCGGGCGTCCCCGATTGCAGTATATTGTGTCTTGTTAGTGGTATACCTTTTAAAAGTTTATTTGGTTACATTTGGCTACATTTGGTTACATTTGGTTACATTTGGTTAGGAACTGAACCTATTATATAGAGTCATTTCTCAAGAATTTTCGAGAATGGAGGGAGAGACGGGAAATAGGTCTGTAATTTAAAGGGATATTAACTGAGTCAGATTTGTAAATAGGTATAATTTTAGCTTGTTTAATGCAGTTGGGGGAAAACTCCAGTAATCAGTTAAACATTGAGAAAGTGCATACATATACGGTTTCAGGCATTCGTTAACTCCTCCTATCTGTTTCTCCAAGGCACAACGTGTGGAAGAATGGTTTAAGATACATCTTCATGACGTGACCATATGTGGCGTTAGGGCGATACTGTAAAAGTAAACATATATATAATTATAATAGAAATTAAGGTTATGTATAAACGCAAGAGTGAGGCGAATGGCTAGCATGCCGATAACAATGTGTGCGTCGAAACTCGATCTCACGGGTGTGTTCCTTCGCATACACCACTTCTCTTTCTGCAAGCGCTCGGCCTATCCATACTAAGCCTATCGATTTCCTACGACAGCTTTTGTTTCTATTATCAATGATACACTCGTAAGCGCTCTTCCTTCTTGTTCTACGCGCACTCGTAGTTTACACACTTACCTGTTCAAAATGACAAGCGCAGTATCCGCCATAAAATCCTTGGAACATGGGCATCGTTATATTGATTGGGTTAACAAGCTTTACGTTTTGAGACCTCGGTTTCTCCGACTCGATCATATGGGCGACGTCTAGATTTCTTTTCAGATGACGAACTGGATCCCACTGAAATATAAGCAATATTCCAAGCAAAACGCCGAAAATACATTTCAACAATATATTAACCTTGTTAGCGTCTTAGATAAATTGCATTGCATCGTAACTGTTACCTCACACTAGTTTAGCAAGGCAAAGAAAAGAAAACAGAACTACATTATTTTTCAGTTGATCTTTTTAAAACTCAACATGTTGCATAAATATAAACGCAAAAAAAAGAAAATCAAACAAAACAACATCAACAGTAAAATGAGAACGTTGGGTTTTAGAAAATAGGAGCTGCAAAAGTTATAAGGTTTTCATAATTTTATAGTTACATATATGGTTATTTTTTACTACTAATAGCTAACAATAAAATAGCAACCACGCTATATAAACTAAAACGGCACCACTGCTTACGAAGGTAGTGGTCTCTATCTGTGGGTGATGCAGAGCAGCATTGTCCATTTTTATCACAACAGTAACATTTGTCAATCCATCACTGAAATACACACATACATACACATTAACACACTCAGTGGTTATGTTCAATCATTCATATTACTGTTAAAACGCCACTTACAGCATTTGATTCACCACTAAGCGAACTTCCAAAAACAAGTTCTCCGCCTAGATTTCCATCTGAATTTACTAAGCATTTAAATAGACCTACTTGTCTAACCTGTCCATGAACCATTTATATATTGCAGGTTGCATCCAGTATGAGCCACCAAATGCCAAAATGGTATTCTTCGTATTTTCTATCTTTTCGGCTCTGTGGAATGTTACAGGGGAACCTTAGAAGATGTTTTTATACACGCGCGTTTTGAAATGATCAACACACAAACATAATCAACACGATCGTATTGTACTTGATAGACGTATTCGACACATGACATACTGATTACAATATCATGGTGGTAGGTGCGTGCGTGCGTGCGTGCGTGATGTATGTGTTCAATAACGTACGCCGACAGCAGCTTGTCCAACTCGCTATTGAAGTATTTTGGTATGGCCACCACGTCGTCGTTTTCTAACGCCATTAGACGGGTGTACTGCATGGCAACCTTCTTCCCTTCATTGGACGTGGTCTCGTAGATGTGTCGTTCAGACGCAACGCCGGTTCCTTGCTTCAATTTAAGGACGACATGCATGTAGGCGAAAAATCCGTGTAAAATCGAGTCGCCTTGAAATAGTATCTGGTAAAATAAACCGCAAAACAGATTGCCACACATAAGCAGACGTTTCTGGTGAGTAGTTGTTGTACTGTGATGCGTCTGTTCGCTGGGGGTTAGCTCGATGATGCCGTTGCACGGTCCTCAAATCAATCTATAAGTCCGCAGTGACGGTGTGACGTAAAGTTTTATTATGTACAGTTTATACCATACACATATCATGCAAAATCATTAATACGTATACTATAATTCAAGTCAGTGGAAGTGAGTTTCATCGCGTCAAATATTAATACGTATTAATAACAAGTACGATTTACGCGAGAGAAATACGAAAACGTAAAGCATCAATATATGCAATATAATACAGGTAAGTACAAGTAAGTTTATCTAAGTTCATCGTCAAATATTACAACCATAACAAGTACGATATCTCGAGAGATATACAAACAAGTCCGCAGTGACGGTGTGACGTAAAGTGCCGATGTCTAGCGGAAGTGGTTTATATAGCGGCAACGAGAAACTGGATTAGCGGGAGCTAGATTTGGCGGAAAACTAGATTTGGCGGGAAACTAGATTTGGCGTGCCTCATCGATTGTCTGTTAGGAGATGCTGTCTAATCTGACATTGTCTTAAACGCCAAGCTTCGCGTACTTCGTCAGGCCATCTTTTATATCATCCCCTGGCCAGTGCTGGGCTTGAGGTACCAGGTGCGTCCGTCATTGTCATTAATTCCGGTCTGCCTCACCGTCACTGCTTACTGACTACAATATAATCATTCCGTGGTAGAAGAGTGGGTGGCATATGATGATCGAGGAGAAAACATGCGGCTGGAAGTTCACGCAAAGGCGGATTCCGAGTTGTTAAGGAGGAAGCGATTGAGGGAGGGTCCTCCTTAACAACTCCCAATACACCTGAATCTAATGCTAATTCTACAACATTCATGTGACTGACACTTGCTGCGTTGGAATACCTCGTCGCTATTTTTCAGCAGGCAACGCTATATCCCGCAGATCAATCAGACTTACCGTTCGACCAGCGAGACATGTTTGCAGATTTTTTTCATTTAAGTCCATGTAACGGCAATCGTAAGGCTGCCAAACAGCTTTGGACCAGTAACAGGACTGTCTATCGTAACAGGAGCCACACGGGACAAGCCATCTCCCTATAGTGGGGAGAGAAATAGCAATATTAAACTGCAACACATCCGTTTAGATTTACGAGAGGGAACAATGTCATACCGATGCACCACGACGCGAATTCATCCCGTCTTAATATCAGTGTGATATTGTAATATACTTGTTTTTCAAATAATTTAGAAATAATTTTGCAATTCGTGGGCACTGGCGTATGTGCTGATTACGTGCTCTAGCGTAAGCAATCCTCGTGCGTCCGTTTTAATGACGTAATGATGCAAATGTCAGCACTGACCGTAATGATCCTGACATGAACTTTATGACGTGATTGCGACCAAAGATGTCTTAGTTCCCAGCACGCACAGAATTTTATTAATAACTTAATAGGACATGAAAGGCATCTTGATAATTTCTGAAATTATACTTCAAATGAACATCATGGTACCTGAAGGCAGAAAACACACAGATTGTATTTGTTAATAGAGAATAGACACACAGATGAAAGATATACGACCAATAATGGAAAGATAATTTTGCCTAGCCCGATGCATGGATTCGCAGTGGTCAGGTACAGAGAAATTATATAGCGAATTGACATTAACCTATCACGTCCAACATTAACGTACCGGGAGCGTAGCCTGTTGTGCAGAGTGGCAGCCGGGAGATGGCAAACTCCATCTCATCCCAGTCACGGTATTTGGTTTCCCCAAGTCCACACGCTTGTGATTTGTCAAAAATGTAGTTGCAGTCCTTAATTAAATAATAAATCAAGTAATATCTGGTCCTGAGAATTGTGTGTGCGTGTATGTGGTACGCGCATGTACGTGTGTGTGTGTGTGTGTTCCTTATTATTCGCGCGCATTCTCTCTCTCGCTCTCTCATGCACGCCTGTACACGCGTACGTGTATGTGCGTTCGTGCGTTTATGCGTGTGTGCGTGTGCGCGTGTGCGCGCATGCGCGTATCTGTTTATTATTCACGCCCCCCTTATCTCATTATTTACGATTTAGACTTATTTACCTAATACATACCTGAACTAAGCTACAGACATCATGTGGGGAGACTTTATGTGAAGAAGGATTTCCCGTCTCGAAAAGGGATTTTCTTGTTGTCGAAATTCTGTACTCGAAACTCGGTTGCTTATCCAAATGCCCATTGATTTTCAAGGTTGCTTGGCCGGCATCAACAAACCAATTAAAGGGCCTGCATTGACATTAAAAGACAATTGCAGTAGCAAGTACCTTTTCTCGTAGTGTCACAGTGTCCACATTCACAGTGTCCACATTTTAGAGGTTCGTAATTTAAAACTCATTTGAAGTGAAGAATTTGTATATATATATATATATTTATTTATTTATTTATTT